ATATCCGAAAACCCGATCTGACCAACAGCAAACGCGTCTCAGGGAAAGCGTCGGCAATACTTCTGGTGATGCGGATATAAACAAGTCTGTTATCTCATTACACTACACGAAAGCAATCAAGTTACGAGATAACGCGCTCAAATACGTGAGCCGACCGCTCCCTTTGGATACTCCCGGAAGTGAGAAACACCGAGTACAGGCGTCCATTTGAATTGAGACGGTCTATTCAGAGGCAAAACTCGAGATGAGTTGTGATCTATGATTCTTCAACTGCGACGACGGCAGCGGCGTAGTGGAACTTGCGTGGGCGCTACTGCATATTCTTGACTCTCGAGTTCATACCCTCAACTTTGCTTTCTGAGGGAAGATCCTAATTTCTCAAGAACATCTGTCGGCCGGCCACGAGAGTCGCAGTCGGGAGTCGGGAACTCTCAGGCCATCGTCACATCACCATGGCGCATGCGAAATCGGATATGGGGAGGACTATCGCGCCCTTGGAACAGAAATCCCTTCAACTAATCCTGAAGGGATAAGTCACCGGCATCTGGCGGAGTTTCGTAACAAATCTCAACCGAAATGACGAATTGAGTGCCTTTGATCTTACGTTGTGTTTTCGGTTTGGGGCAGGTGCGGAACTCGGCTCTCGTACCCCACGAGGACAGAGTTGACAGCTCCAAAGCTCGGGGCCGACAACGAGTATGAGATCTTCGATACTGGGGAGAGGAATTTCTTTCACGAAATATAATTCATGAATGATTATTATCGAAGCCAGGCGGTTACACGTGAGCTCACGGTCAGTATGAAATGCCCCCCCAAAGGAGGACGTGAGTCCTTCCGCGATACTCAGCGGACATTCATTCCTTCCGGAATTATGGCGAGAGGAGGATTATATCCGAGCCGTTCCGGTTTTTTCAGACGCGGTACGGAGTCACTACGCTCTTTCTGTGTCGGACAACTATAGCCTCCCAGCAAAGCGCCCTCAACGAAGTTGCGCCTCGGAGCTACTGATGAGGTTGCCATCAGAGTTCGTGGTCTAGTCGTCGTAGAGTAGTTTGCAGAGTACGAGTAGCGCGAGCTCAATAAGTGACATTAGGATCAAGCTCCCTCGATTGCTTTTTTTTCTAACAAGATTCCTCTGTCGTTAGGATTTTTGGACCCGGGGTGACTCGCCGCTTGCGATGACCCGAGAAGTTTTCTGTGTCCGCCGTCGTTGGATAGGTCGTCCATAAAAACTCAAAATGTTTTATGTGTTTTTTCGTTGCATTTCTGAATAGCCGCCCAAGTATCTTGCAAATCAAATTCGTTTGCCTTTATGGACCCTTGTCTCGATGAAATTGAAGTGCTCTATCGGGAGATTTCTCCAAGTGTCCTTCTGAGCGCTGTGATTCCGCTCATGCGGGGGCAACAATCTCGATTCCTCGCGTGGAGAACTTCTAGCTTGATTGCTTGTCTCTCGTCCTTCTCCTGATTACCTAGTTCGATTTCGAAATGCTGAAGATTCCCGACGGGCATCCACTTGCGTCTCCCAGAACGTACGTCGAAATCATTCGATCCTCTAAGTCATCCTCGGTGACGTTTTGCGCAGTCAGCTCAATCGACAACAACCGTATTCTGCCACAATAAACATTGGACAGACGTATAATAAACAGGATCGCAATCACCAAACAGAATACACGAGACGCAACATGGACGTTCCAGGGCTTCCCGAGGCAGAGACGGCGTCCTCAACTCCGGACGGAAGGAAGCAGACCAGCAAGGAATAGTGGACAGACACAAGGACAGGCCGGACTTGGTTTATTCCTTCCGAAAAGAGAGTGTGCTTCAGCGCCTATCTTGCTCGCCTCGAGTTCCTAGTTCCCTCTCTTCGAAGATGGAAGCAAAAGAAAAAAAAGTCAACTCCGAGCGTCGTCGCCGCCGCACAAGTTGGGCGAGTGAGTGAGCGATCGTTCGTTCGTTCTCGCGCGGTCTTTCTCAATAAGAAACAAGTATCGACGACGTCTTGCTCCAAAGCTCTGGATCGTAGAGCCTTCGATGCCAACAGTGTCTAAGTGTTCGCCCTCGACAAGTGATGATGTGAGTGAGCGAAAGAGCTCTTTTCAAGTCGCGGATGCCTTCCCAGAAGGACTCCGCGACACACTCTGTGGAACTCACACGCACCCTGCAGACAATAGCAGATCCGAAAGATGTGTTTAGATTTTAGTTGGTCGATTTCGACGCTAATAAGGTCGCTGACCCGTCCGCTCGCGTAGATATTTTTTCCCTTATCGCCGATCTCGCTACCGCTCCGTTGGGTTACGCTGGTGATATATCGGTGAGCTGGTGCTGAATATAAGGATCGTGTCGTGCGCGTATACGACTCCGGGCAAACCCGCAGCAAACAGAACTGTCGCGAAACGCTGTACGTCTTGCTCCGTCTTCACTCGTCTCGGTCGCTGTAATTGGGGGTTGGGGTGACTCTCCTCATTTTTAGGTTCTCCGCGAATGTCGCCGGCTGGCGGGACTTCCATCCCGACGAATTGGAAACGAAAGGAATGAAATGGAAACGATTGAGATCGAATCAGAACAACGTTTTTGGATTGGACCGGAGAGATCGAGCGTTTCTTCTGCGATGAAAAATGAGAAGCCATGATTTTCTCTTTTTTGTGCGTTTCTGACGAGTCTACTAGTCGGGGATACGAGCTCCAGTAAACCCGATGAGGAGTCCTTGACGATCTTCGCTCGTTTTTCCGGTGCCGTTATTTCTATATCGTCTCAGTCAGTCAGTCATCGCTTGCCAGGACATACAGATCTATTCGAAGACACGCTCGGCTGTAATGGGTCCGATATTTACATGGCCTACCGTGGCAATCGACTTACGGAGCGCTTTCATTTGTAGTCCAATAAGGCAGGGGGGGGGGGAGAGTGCGACAGACCAGGACACGAGGAAGATACGGCTGAGCGCAATGGAAGAATTGGCAAATACGGACCAGGCTCGCTGGGGCTAGTCGAGCCCATCTGAGCGCTACCTATTTCTCGCTTTGGGCCTTTCGGAGGACACACCTTTGTTCTCGAAACAAAGCATTCTATGTCGTCCTTCTTCGAACAAAGGACGATACTGGTCCGGGGCGTGCTTATACGCCGCGGTAGAGTTGTTTGTCTCTAGTGTTTTTCCCCCGAATCTCACTGCGCTCCGAAGAAATTCCCCCTGCAGATTCCAGAGGTCACGGGACTGAAGCTGTCACGCAAAAGATTCGCAGGAAGATTCGACCTCCCCTAGGTGCGTTCACTCTCTCGGATTGAAAAAATAGAATTCGTCACTTGCGGCTTCCTCGACGTGATGGTACTGGTCGACCCTAATATTAGACGGTATGATGTGGTAAGACGAAGAAAATGGGGAAACAGTTCAGAATTGTATGAATTCTAGCGGCTCGAGAGCGCCATGGTCAAGCTCAGCATGTCACGCCCGTTCAAAGTATCGTGAATCTCGCGAAAACCGGGACCTTGCCGAATTCGAAGAGCAGAGGGTCAACCGGGCTCCAGTATTTTATTAGCCTCCCGGAGAGCCAGCGATACCTGTTGTCTAGATTGTCGAGTTCGGATGAAAGTAGGAAGAGAAAGTCGAGGTGGTCCGTCATGAACGGGGACATCAAGACGACAGACAGGCATCCGAAAGTTCAAGGGCCGCCATGGGTAAGTACGGGATTGGCTTAGAAAGATCCCAACTCCCAACCCCTCTCTCCGGAAGGCACGCCAGACCTTCGTGGGCACGATCCTCATCTCTTTTCTCTAATTACAAACGGAGCATATAATAGGAGGAGTGACCTCGTTGAGACGCTGCGTTCAAAGCTTCCCACAATGACCCGGGAGAATGCCGAACTGCAAACGACATCAATGAAGAGGGTGTGCCCACTTTTGTGAAGTCTCACGCTGTCTTGACGGTCGGCCGCGCTGACCAGGAGACGGTTGACCGGACAGAACGAACAAATGAAGGGAGGCCGGAAAAACAAAATACGTATCCTGAAATAGATGAATGAATGCTCGATAGATGCTCGGCCAACATCTTGTACGGAGGGACCACAATACATAGATGGAGCCTAATGAGACGGAACGGTTAGTCCCCTCTGTTGCGACAGAATCTGCCGTACACGTCGCGTGATCGTCTTCGAATAAAGCGAGCTGAGGGACACAGTCAAATGAAACTCCAACCGTCTGGGCTCGTAGGCTTCATGCCAATCGATGAGAATAATTCAGAAAGCACCGAACTTCCCTGAGTGTCCCTCCGAGGTCGAATCAACTCTCATTCCGCGTTTCCCTCCGTCGATTCTGAGTGAGAGCAGGGCCCGTACCTCGGGAGCTGCTTCTTTGTACGATGCGGAATTCGGAGTCCCTTAGAGGTCCAGACTCCGAGATACAACGATTGATTTCGAGCTAGGCCGAGTTGCGCGATGAAGCAGAGTTCCGATTTCGAACAGTCGGAGCCCTCAGGTCTGTCTTAGAGTCTTGGCAATTTCGGATACCCCCCCTCATCGCATTGTCCAAGGAGTAGCAGCTCGAGTACACAGAAGGATTCGCTCATCCGCAGGCTTTCCGGAACGAGGATCATCCTAGTGTGCTACTCCGAAAGACCTCCGCGAAGACCTTGATATCCACCAACTATGACTCCGCTCATGGATCAGGAATGAGCACGTGAGGGAACTCGGAGAGATGCTCCCCTCGGCAGTGGAACAGCGAAAATAGGCCATGTCTGGCCCTGGGGCGTTGAAGTACATATGTAGGTAGTTTCGAGATTCTGAATATTGGGAATCTATCCCGTGCCCGACTCAATAATTACACGGAAAGTTCTCCTTTGTTTGAGACTCCCATTCTTTGTTCTCCTCTGTGGCTTACGATCACCTATGTCGGACAATTCGACAAGTGGTTCGCCTAACCGTCCCGAGTTCGGTGAGATATTGTTTGTGCGTTGCGATCGTCCGCGAATGAGTCCCTCATTGAGGGTTATCAGCCGTCCATTCGTTCTCAGCTCAGTAATAAAACAGAGCAAGAACAGTACAGACGCATTGGAGTGCGCCGGTTGAATAGAAGTAAGACGCCGCTCCATCCGAGTCCACGTCCCACTGCTGGCCGTAAGCGACTCTGATACCTGCTCCTCTATTTTCCACGAGTACCGTGTGACAGATGAATTTGTACTGACCTCCACCTGCATTCGGAAGCTCGTTTCAGAACACGGGTCTGTTACAATTTTGTCAGTTGTTGTTACAATTGTTGAGAGTTCGAGGCAACACCCGAGCGAAAGACAAAAATCCCTATACCTGAATCTGTCACACTCCTCAGACTCGCGGCTGTCGTTGGTCGTAGAGCCTCTTCTTCTTTGAGCCGGTCCGTTCTGAGCTTGAGTTGACCAACCACGTCCTCGGATATGCGCTGCGCGAGTTTGGACACCGCAGAGCCGTCGTAGACCTCGACTGTGTCCAACAGAGGGTTGACCACTTCTTTCATGAGTGATTTGGCTTCGTCCGGTTTGAAGCGCAAGTCAAGCGATGGCCTCAGATTGAATTTGGCCGACATCGCGCGCAGTGGGGATTCGACAAACAAGAGCTTCCTGAAAACCGCGACAACTATCGCGACTGCGAAGTCTCGACGAACGTGCCTGGCGGTCTCCATGGCGACCGGAGGACGAACCGCGCGACAACAACGCTTGGTCAGCTGCTAGGATGCTACATAGTATAGGATGGGGAAGACATTCGGCTACAGATGATGTGGGAGCAGCGGGGCCTATGAAGGCTCACGGGGTTAACTCATGAAGTAAGTGCTTGCAAAATTACGGATCCACGGAGCTTCGACCAATAAAGTACATACCTATTCCCTCTGCGAGCCGTGAGTACTCACGAAGCAGCGATAAGAAATAGAGCTCCGAGCGACTCGGATGTTCAAAAGCAATGCAGTGGAATGGGATAATAGATACTCCCGTTCTCCTATTCGACCTGATGTAGGATTGTCCTGAACTCAGATAACCTCCTTTGGCCAGAACCCAAGTTATCGTTCAAGCAGACGGTAGCCGAATCGAATTCGCGAAAAGGGCATTCATTTCCCATGACGAAGAATACCTACGATGATTAATGTCACGATACTCCGCGAGCGGACGATCATAGAATGTCGTGATTCTTGTTTAGGATTACAGGACAAACACTCTCCCCTACGGAGTTTGCCTCAGGGCAAGCAGGAACGCAGATAGCCTTAAAATTCCTCTGATACACACAATGGAAGAGTCCCAACGCCCGAATGTTAATCGCGAGATGGGGAAACCCAACATCAGGAAGCTATTGGCGCCCATCGCTATCGAATATCTCCGTATACCCACGGATACCGCCGACACCACCCGCGCGTGTCGGGCCGGACGATTTGGAAGGATTGACACCCAGAAATTCGTTTGATTAACGATCGTGCATTGGCAGAAACCAATATCAACTGGCCGAATGGAACTATAGCGGGCACCACCGAATTCACTGAATGTCAGATGCCTGGTGTAGGCAGATCGGCTGCCAGTCTCGTCCCATGGCTGCTCGCGTGTATCGGGACGAGGAACCCCAGATGTTTTCCGTTCTTTCTCGAGGTAGGCATGTGTATCAGCGCGGCATCACGCCTGATCTTGGAACAGTTGAATCGTGTTTCATCTCGGAGCTGTAGATTGAGCGTAACCGCTGTAGTCATGTTTTTCTCCCTTCGGAAGGCTACACAATATGTTCATGTATATCTCGCTGGGTCTTTTTTTCGGACAGCGGAATCGCTATCGATACGGAATACGGACGACGATGCAAGCCAGGAACGAGAAGCTAGAAGAATAGGGAAGGAATCGCTCTCACCAATATGGAGATCCGGAGTGTTTTTCCACTTGTGTTTCGCTGGAGCTAGAAGCTGGCCGAAGGCGAATGCAACTCCCTCGATGAGTATGTGGACCGCCAATCCGCAGCATACAACGACCCATCCCCATCCTCCTTCCGGGTAGTAATGTTGACGTATGGTAGCGACTTTATTCGCTTTCTCTTTCCGATGCTGCAATCTGAAAACGACCGCAGAGCTTCAGTCCCTCTACCTGACTCTCCACATGAGCTTGGCGCTACCTCCCTGTCGATTGGGAAATCTTTCTGGTCTCGGCCTCTTGGTAGTATTATATATTTCGCGAAATCTAGACGAAAACTTGAGAAGGAACCTGCGCTCAAATTGAGAACATTCACCCAGCATAAATTCCCCCTGAGAAGGCGAAGTGACATTAAGTCTGCTAGTATTTGGCGAAAAGACTCAATCGAATCTCATATATCGCATCTGGAAAAGATCGGATCCGTAACTTTAGCGATTGTCGCGCGCCGCCTCATTCTCTCCGCTTCCCAGTATTCTATCCAGCTGTCAACAGCAACACGACGGTGTCGTCTGCTTCGCGCACGTTCAAGAACACAACAAAATGGCGACATCTCTGCGCTGTCTGAGCTCTCGCGCGACTCGTCTTATTTGCGCGAATTCCAGGCGGAACATCACGCTGTCAGCATGCCGACAGGAGATGTTCAGTATCCAAGACGAGAAAGACTTCAAAGAAAAAGTCATCGCGAGCGATAGACCAGTTGTTGTCAACTTCAAAGCAAGGTTAGTGGGCTTCCGCGAGCTGGAGAGCACGAACAAGAGCTCGTTCAATAGCTTATCTAGCATATGAATCCGTCCTGGAGCTCCAAGCTCCCGCCGTCGTCTTCCGTCGACTTGCGGTCGCAGCCGGGCGGGCCACATCTACAGCGAATTAAATTCAACCTCACATTCGGACGGAGTAACCTCTTTCTGAGAGACTTTTCCGACGGTGTTCGAACGCCGTCGCATCGTTCCCTAAGAGGCTTTTTTCGTCCCGATGATTCCGACCTCGAGCCGAGCTTTGCCCTCGGACGGAGCACTCCGTGGTCGGACACGACGGTATATAGCTGACAATGTTGTGTCGATAGTGAGAGCGTCGCCCAAAGCCGAACTTGTGTTGCAGTTGGTGTGGACCGTGCAAGATGCTCACTCCCAGACTAGAGAAGATCATGGATACCCGCATGGATACGATGCACTTCGCCAGAGTCGACATCGACGACAACGTGGAGATAGCGATGGAGTACTCGATTGATGCCGTGCCGGCCATAGTAACATTCAAAGGAGGGAAAGTTGTCGACAAAGTCATTGGATTGAAAGACGATGATCAACTCATATCCATGGTCGACAAACTCAATAATTAGTCATAGGAATAAAATGACGAGGCAAATTCAATTTTTTTCGGAGTCCGGATTCATTAATAATGTGCAAGACTTGCATGTACCCGCGGAATGTCTCCTCGTGGAGAGCGCGGATGACCCTTCTTGAGTAATTCGTCATTCCAGTAAACAGTAAATGATATCATCTGAGTCATAAGTCATAACGAAACGCTACTGGAGTAGACGAAGATCTGATAGCTCAACTCCCAGAGCTCGCGAAATATCTCACCTATGATAGTAGTCCTGATGATGGCACAGGAGCCGGGCGTATTGTTCCTCGAATCCCAAATCCTGAGGAACCATCAAATTCAGACCTGCTGGTGCGCTGAGCGGTCTCGGAACGGAGTCCCCACTGGAAGAGCCGGCAGACGAATCTTTCGATTCGCTCCTCTTCTTGATGTGAATTCTGGGCTTGGGGAGAGGCACTCCGTCCAGGAGGCCGTTCGTGTACCTCGGGGACTTGATTCGTCGCTGATTTTTCAGGAAGAACATCTGTGGGAGACAAAGACCCAGGATGAGCTTTAGACATTCCTTCAATTAAGATTCCGGGGGCTATCCTGTGAGCACTCAGCTTCATCATCCATCATGGACCCCTCCACGGCTAAAGCCGCTTGTGGTCGTTCGAGCTCTGGTAGTGTCGGTGAAGGCTCGAAGAGACCGTTTCCAGGATATCGTTGGCCTACGTTTGTTTTAGCTCAGGTCTACTCATTTTTGAACAGTTTCATTCGCAACCCATTCGCCACGAGTAGTCAGTCGGAAACCCGCTGACTCAGAGTCGGTTCCGGCTTGCCTACGGCTCAACGAGGGTCACCTGATTGCTGTTTGTCATTCCTCCATGCGGTAAAGTGTCACTTTTCTCTCCGCGATGTGCGCATCTATGCTTGTCGCCCTGGGTCGACATACCCGCCCAGGCGTCCGGACCTGAGCCCCGGGCGGGCTCAAGAAAGACCCCGAACTCGACGAAAGCAGCGAGATAGCTGAAAGTTTGATGATGTGGCTGATTCTACCGAATGTCTCCCGAGAGAGAGAGCCCGGAGGCCGTTCGACACTGGAGCACACGTCCATCAGGCTTTCGCGAAGATAGTGTTCTCAATAAACATGTCGACGAGCCGCTTCTCCGATCGAGGTGCGACATACTCGAGGAATTCCGACAAACGGGTTTTGCTCGGGGGGTCAGCGCCAATGAGGTCACAAGGAAAGAATTTCAAACATGCTCCAGCAACGACCGACCACAACCGACCATCCTTCGCTCATGAATGCCCAGGAGCATCCGATGACAAACTCGAATGTTTGACCGGGTCAGGGGCGAACCGGATCCACATGAACCTTTTTCCTGCTTGTTCAGGCGCTCGCATCATCGAGGTCTCAAATGGACGAGGATTCTTTCATTCGGGGACACACTGTTCCATTCGTTTGCTCCCGCAGGCATTGAGCCGATCGGAATCACTCATTTCTGAGGACGCCCGTATCGACCGTAAGTTCCATGTCTACCCGGATTCCTAAGGTTCGACTCGAAATGCCAGGAATCGGTTTCCCGTCGTCGCGTCGTTTTAAGCAGCCGAGTCGTCATTATCCCACGTGGAAGCGGAAACATGCCTCATAGGCGGAGACATGCCACGATATTGAACATTTTTCACTCGGGATTGACGGGACTAGTATCGATTCCTTTCGACGAGCTCCGTACCAAAGGAAGCTCTCCTGGGATTATCGATTCATTCCGCGACTAAATACCATCCTATCTACGAATACTCTTATCGCATGGCGCGTAACACGGCTACAAAGAAACGCGATCCGACGAAATCGTATGAGAAATAAATTAAAACTGGCCTCCGCGCGGCGAATCAGCTCTGAGGTGCTCTGCATTGAAGCCTTGATTTTGCCACAGATGATAAGCTCCTGGAGATAGAAAACGTATAAGCAAATGATCATGGAGCACTTCCCGACAGATCCTACGAAAACTCTCTGTTACAGGCGGGATGTCGGAAAGGGTCTTCTCGCTCTTGATCAATCCTTCGGAGGTCTGAGATGGAGTCCTCGATGGAAGGACAGTGAATGCCTGACTGAGCTCGGAGCCACCGAAGGAAGATACCTCAGCAAATCGTCAGGAACGATGCTCGAAATGTTGTAAGAAGGGAAACAAAACTCCCCCGCAACCCCCAAATCCTTGCCCGACTATCGTGAGTCTGCCAAAAACAAATAAGGGCTCGCATTGTAACTACGGCGCGTCAGCTCCGTGGGTATGCATGTATTCAGGACTATTGTGTATCTCTCGTCCGCATCCGTCATCACTGGAGGGCATTAAACTCGCGTCCCACGCCTCTGGAGCCTGCAATGGGAACGTGTTCAAGAGTGACCTCTTTCCTTCCTCTGGAGTCGTTGCAGTTTGTGACTTGAAAGCGATCCCCGAATTCATGATTCCGCGCGCGGAACGTCATGGGTCGAAAGTCGCGTGAACCGAAAATCAGAACCACCTCGACTCCCTTCCCAGAACATAAATAGCGAGCTGTCGTCTCGCCCTCACCTTTGGGCCCCCCATCGAGATCGGAGAAAAACCGCGATCCGCCATCAGGACACTCGCTACAGTGTTCGTGGAAGCGAGACACTCCCCCATGCGACTGGAGTTCCGTGGAACTGCGATTGACTTGTTATTATTGAAAATCGATTCGGCGATACTCAAGCATCTCCGGATCTCGCATCAAGGAGTGTTGCGAAATTGCGAGTTTCTTATCCGGAAAAAGTATTCCACCGCTCCGCAGTATTTACCCCTCTTTCCCCCGGAGTCACGATCAGTGTAGAGCCGGCGGCTATTTCTTATGGTATGGTATCTTGATGACGCCCCATGTCCTCACATTTCCCGAAATACGGCGCGCAGCCGAGACATACAGGAGATTGCTTGCGAACCAGGTGCAGATAGGAAGATTGCGGGTAATCCACAATGAGCCTTCAGATGACTCTTGCGCAAGTGCGGAGCAGCCAAATACTTCATCACGTCAACACGACATCACGTATGGGGAGTAGGGGATCACGTCCATGAAGGAAATCATATGGTGTACCAGCCTCTCTCCAGGCGACCGAGGACCATCTCGGAGGGGCCATGTCCGGTCTACGGGTAGCCGAGAGGGTTGACGGCAGCTGTCCGGAGTTCTCGGGGCTCTCGCATAACCTCTGTGACCCAAGTCCCCAATATGCTACGTAATATGATATCGCGATCGTTTGTCTTAGGGTTCGATCATTCTGCGTACATACAACATATATATCCATGCGAGCCCTTCGACGGCTCAGGCTGAGCTTGCATACCGTCTCAGGCGGCGCCACTGATACCGTACGGTGAGAAAAAGATCGCTGGTCCTAAAGTCGAGAACTCTTGTTCGGTTTGCAAACTCAGATATCCCGCATGAGGAGTTCAGCTCGTGGAGAATATAATGTTTTCTGTGCCTCCTGACTTGATGAACAAGGACTCAGGCTTCAAAAAGAGATTCGAGAAACTTATTTCAGGTCAGAAAGCCGCTTGGAAACGTATATGGTGGATCGCACGGCCATCACGGAACTCATTCACAGGCTTTTTAGAAGCTGTTCGTGGTACACAGTATGACCCTTTGGTGATTAAATTGTCCCTCCATTTTGCGCGCGTGATCAGCACAGAGTAAACGGCGCCAGGACTCCAGATTTATCGTTCAGAGGCGTTCCGAGCTCGGCATCATATTTCCCCTTCGGTCACGGATATTCCCTAGTTGGGAGGGGAATTCGCGTGGAGAAGTCGCACCGTAGAGGAGCTTCATCTGACGTGCGACTACCCTCGCATGATGCTCAGAGGAGGCTCGAACTAACAATTAGTCCTCATCGATAGGTTTCGTGACATGCAAACAAAGAGCGCGTACTTCCATCGGGCAGAGAATGCTGGCGCTTGTGAACCGGCCCCGGCGAAAAGTGAACCACCGTGGCACCGCTCCCTGTCATTCCTCTCAAACTGGTCCATATGGACCACGGAGGCCCATGGCGGTTTCGGGTCTCCCAAGGTCTATAGAGGATCGAATGCTAAGAATACACAGGGGCTCCACAAGGTTACACGGCTCGGAGGACTTCGGGGACCACTCTCCTAAAACTTTCGCTGTTCCAAAGGTCAAGGTTTGACGGAGGACTTCTTCCGGGGATACTCGCCGTTACTTGTCAGCATCGTACTACCCACGGTGAATGAATATCGAAAATTGAAGGAATGGTGCCGTCTAGAAAGGTCTCGGTGAATTCCTCTGAGTATGGGATCGAAGCGGCCTCTGCTCGCTCTTCCATTTTTTTCGGCTTTCATTGATGCTCATCAGAGCACCGGGAAAATGAACTAGGTCACTGTATTTACGACGGAGACTCCCGGGTTGGGCGTGGGGAGAACCTTCCGCATTCCGCAGCTTCTTCGAGGTATCGGAAGATCCCCCAGGGACGCTCAATCAGCGGAAGGTCATCTCCGCGAATGAATCATATAACCTCCCGCAGGTTGAAGGGATCCATCAATCAGGAATAGGGTCAAGTGAATTTTTTTATCCATGTAGTCAACCTATTCTTCCGAGATTGCTGAGGGTGATGGAAATTCGGGGTTGACTTCGCTAAATCTCCGGGTAGATTGCCGACTGAGCAATCGACGATCCCGGGGAATATCTCAGCTACAAGGATGAGAGATCTCTAGACGGGTTCTCAGGCGAGCTGCATACGATTTCACACTGTAGTTGAGGCTGCCGTGCCGGTTTTCTGGAGAATAAGGGACCTCCCGAGGCACCTCGCTGTTGTTCCTCGTCCTTCGTTTACTCTCTTTTCCTTCGGGTATTCTACGGGTCAAACTCCCGCATCAAGTCCCCAAAAAAATTAGACCCCATCTGATCTCACTCAGTGGGCTTCCTCCGTTGAGACTCCCACCGCTGGCCTCGGATGTCACCGTTTTTATCAGCTGTCTTCCATTGGCCGATGTTCCGCCCGAACAGTCAGTGAAAGCATTGAATCGCAGAGTACATCCCCAAGCATCGGACACTGAGGGACGGGGAGAAGGTGACGGAGTAAGATCCTATCGGAATCTGGCGCGACGCTATCCCTGGAAATCAGGGACTTACTCGTGACTCATATGCGTCGGGCCGGATACTCGCGCCATGCAGTCGAAGTTTCGGAGCCGAAGTCGCAGTGTGGCCAGCGAGGGACTCCGTGCGAGAATCGGCTTATCAGTTGTTCTAGGAGGCTCGCGCGATGAGATGTTGACGGAACCGGAATTTCCGGGACAGGAAACGATGAAAATACCGGGAGCTTCAATTTCTGGTCGACGGCAT